CACCATGTCTTTCTGAGCCTCAGATTTCTCTATAGAATGGAAATACTGATAGTTCACTCAAGGAGTTGTGTATCTAAGTGCTATGTAAAGGAAACTTATGTAGTAAAGTTCTGGGCATGCAGATACTTCTTAATATACAACTGATAATAAGCATAGAAAATAAAAGAAATTAATAAGTGACCAAAGGAGAGAAGTGGTGAAACCAGTTCAAGATTGTCTGTTGAGGTCACTGTTAATGTGTTGGATATTTAAAGCTGTGTGGGTGATCTCAGAGTGAAATTCTAACTTATCTTGAACAGGCGAATACAAGGCACTTAGAGCATTTTAGCTTACGGTCTGGAAATAAGAAAGTAGCAGGAGATGTGAACTGATGCAGGCTTTCACATTGGGAATGTTGTATCACCTCAAGAAAAGGTCAAATGCCAGACAGGAAGAGAGTAGCTAAGTGTTCTGCAATATGTTCATGACTGAGGATGGCAGCATGTGGGAATTAGATATATGTACACACATAAAACAATGTTAGTTGAAGAATAGCCCAAAATATCAGTTGATTACAGTTTCATTAATACAGCTATGTACATTCACACAGCCCGAGAAATTTTAGGGAAAAGGATCCTTCTCTCCAACATTGCTTAAGTCTGTAAAATATTTCCAGAGTGAATGAGAAATAGAATGTCTTGCCATGTTTCTCTGAGCAGAGCAAGGAGAACTAGGATCATGATAGAGGTCTACCTGAGGCAGGCACTTGACCAAAACATGTCAGAAGCTTTGCCCACAGAAGGCTACCTGTGTAACAGTGTCTTCTTGTAAGTAACAAAGACCCTGCTGTCTTTGATCACCGTCCTCACCGGCACAACTATGTCAGGCTTCTTCTCTGGGCCGGTCTTCACATGCTAGAGGCCCACAAATTGATGCCAGTGAGGGTTTTTCTATTAAGTTGGCTCATTCTACCCTGTCTGGGGCAGCATTCTACACATTTTCAAAAGTGTACAAAGATCACCAATGCACAGAAGCCCTGATGTTGAACTCCAGTCCTACCATCTTAAATGCTTATGTAGCTTTTCTCACCTGCCCCAGTAGGGGGTCACACTTGCTCCCCCTACAGCTTAGGAGACTGAGATGCTGACCCCTCCAAGGGGGTACTGTAAACAAGTGAATTTTTTATCCCTTTGGCCAACTTAATTCAGTGTAAATTATACATTTAACAAATCACAGAAGTTGATTTTCAGATCTCTTCTATACAACTTGTTCTCACACTTGGGTATTTAAGAGGGACTTATGGGGGATGGAGATGCAACTTAGTAAGTATAACACTTGCCTGGCAGATACAAGGCCCTGGGTTGAATCCGCAGGACCACGGAACTTAGGGGTTTCGGCTAAAGGCCTATAATTTCAGCACTTGGGTGGTTGAGGTTGGAAGATCAGAAGTTCAAGGTTACCACAGCTACTTAGTAAAACTTAAGGCTAACCTGAGACCCAAGAGACTCTACCTCAGCAGGCCAGGAAGGGAGATGGGAGGGTCGCTTATGAAGTAAAAGCAAAGAAAACCGTAAAACCGAGAAAAATCGTTGATTTGATGTTTATGCCAGTTTACTAGTATAATGTGTGGGCCAAGGCCATGGCCACAACTTCCCTGTGAAGGTAATTTCAGAGTTACCATTCTCCCCAACCCTTGATTCTTGTATTTTAATGACAATTTCTTGTCTTTACTTCATTTTTCATTAATTTTTTTAGGTTATACATAGTATACAGACATCATTCAGCATTTTCATGTATGTGTGTCTTTATGTGTCATTCCCATTCATGCCCTCCCCACTACTTCTCCAGTTTTTAACTATGACTTTAGAAAAATAAAGATTTGTAGCGGTAATTATTTAAAACAGCGGCACCCAATCTGTCTTGCTATATGGGGCTCCCATGTTCCCGACTAAACAAGACCTGTGGCCACAAGCGGTGGCTTATTTTCGCTGCTGCTTGGCTCAGACCGCTGGCTCAGGCAGTCAGAGACACCGGTCCTGGCACCCACGAGATGCCAGCGTGGGATTTGGCTCTGCCAATCATCCACGATGTCTCCCCAAGGCTGGGCTTTGCCCAGACCATCCCGCCATCCATGCGGGCCTGGTAAGAAAATGATTAAATATTAATGCTTAAATATTAATCAAAGGCTTTATATGTTTGGTAATGCTCAATAACAATATGTCCATACAATTAGAGGTGTTTCCCAATTAGCTAACCTAAATATAAGTTGTTACCCAGGACTGCTCTCCATACCTGTGTGGCTCTTCATCCTCCTACATCTGTCTCTCTAGTTCCTCCTCTTCCTTTTCCTCTTCCTCTCCTTACTCCTCCCACCTTAGCTCCTCCTACAAGGATTTTGTTACTCTGTAATCAAAGGTGAAGGAAGGAGTGGTGCTTCTGGATCTCCCACTCCTCATGAACTTTGATCAAGTCAGCGAATGAGGGTCCAAGAAAATCTTGGAAGAGCTGTGGTAGAAATAAAAATCTTACTTTAGAGTCAAAACCCTGTGTCAAAAAGCAAAAAAGAAATACAGAGTAAGAAAGAAAGAAAGAAAGAAAGAAAGAAAGAAAGAAAGAAAGAAAGAAAGAAAGAAAG